AGTTTTAGGGGCAAGGACCTTAAAACACTTTTATATTGCAGAAATCAACAAGGTTGTCTGTTTAAGGTTAGGAGCATTAGGACCTTAAAACACTTTTATATTGCAGAAATCAACAAGGTTGTCTGTTTAAGGTTAGGAGCATTATAGTCGATGAATAATAATTTTAGAATTTAGTAATAAACTAAATGATGTTAAATAACTATATAAGCAATTAAGGTAATTCATCTCTCCATCCATCTTCTCCTGCATAGTCCTGTCAGGGTTGCGGTGGGGCCGGTGTTTATCTCTCCAGCAGTCAGATCGACAGATCGCCATTCTGTAGCATGGCAACACAGACACACACAAAGAAGCACAACCATGTGTACACTCACACCTAAGGAGAATTTAGAGAAACCATTTCACCTGACAGTCATGTTTTTGGACTTTGGGAGGAAGCTGGAGTACCTGTAGAGAACCCACGTTTGTACGGGGAGAACATGCAGACTCCATGCAGGAAGACCCCGGGCCGGGAATCAAACCCTTGCTGCAAGGTAACAGTGCTACCCACTGCTCCACTATGCAGCAGGTTTATCAATGCTTTAAATCAGACTTCCTTAATTAAGGTCTATGAGATTCAGTGTCCTGAACCTTTTAGATTTATCAGCTTCAACCCACCAGGTCATTAGCAGGCCTCTGGAGAAGGGGATTGCATGGAGTTAATTCAGCCATTTAATGTGTGGAAGCACAAACACACCTTAGATATGCAGGACAACGGACCTGCAGGGCCGGAATTGAGGAAGCCTGCTTTAACAGTATCAGCGACAGTAAAAAAAAAAAAAACTTCTTGATTATAAATGACTATGTACCTGCAGTTTTGTGTAATCACCACTCACCATGCTTATACTGTGAAAAAGTGATGTATGTTTGATTTGCAGGTTTTAGGAACCCAAAGATTACATCCAGGTTAGAGGAGTGGAACAGGTTTGGCCCTCTGACGTCGCTCTCCTTGGCTTCCTTAAGCTGCTTCAGGTACTCAATGAGAAACTCCCTCAGATTCTCTGATGACACAATCATTACAAGAGGTTAACTGCAAACATCTCTTTCTGATGAACAATGGCAATTAATTGTTTGACAAATATAGAAGCTTGATGCAGGGCCATTCTCATCAGAATAATCATTAAAAAATCCAATCAAGATGACAACATTTCGGCCAAATATTGCTCTCGGTTTACAGTTGTGACTTAAAGGGGGGTCGTTACCATTAGGCAATACTAGCCATTTGCCTAGGGCCCCATAAAACACTGTTTACGTGTATAGTTAATACTACTATTCCTTATTTGTGGACATTAATTATGTTTTTGATCAAAATGCTTTGCCTAAAATGCCATAAGAACGCTTATAATATTAAGAGTGTCTCAGCTGA